ACATTGGAAAAAGTCGGGGCTCACCAGCCACAAAGAATAACTTTTTTTGCAAATGCGACACAATGATCGCAAAAAGTGACCAACGGAGCCGTCCAGTTACGTAGACCTGGGAGATGTGAAAATAAAAACAGATTGAAGATGATGTCATTTAGGTAAAAAAACATAAATTAATGTAAAGATTATTTAGTAGAAGGAATAAAAGTTAGCAACTCAGCAAAAGAGGAATAAAAACTCACACTTAAGTCATCTTTTAGCAATTGATAAAACAATGATCTATGAGTAAACAAGTCAATAAAAATCCGCTGGTTTATAATGGTATTCATAACTAAAATAATCGCACCATACAAGTGTCTAATAAATGTGGTATTATATATGTTCTGAACTCTAGATAAAAAATTGAAAACTGATAATCACCTGTGTAACATAAAAATATATAAATGTCGTTAATGTAACAAATTCATAATAAAAAGCTTACAAAGCGCAAAAATACATGGGTTTAAGAGGTAAAAAAATGTTGGTGCCATAATAACCAATTAGAATTAAGAAGTGGATAAATGGTGATCCCCCTCCTCAGGAATGCACTGCGATCACCAATGACGTTTCGGAGAGCCCGAGACCTGCACTAACGCCACTCGTCAGGGGCGTGTCCTTGCAACAGATCTCACCGCCTGCACTCACATTTTTTTTTTTTCATTATTACTCTTTTTCTTTTTCTTTTTATTGCAAATGAAGAAGTTTGGAATACTTTAGTGTTAACAAAAACAAAAATGTACATGGGAAATACGAAAAGTCTACTGTATAAAAAAACTGGAACGCTGGCGCTCGCAGAAGACTACCGTTTACATTTACATTGATTCATTTTTACATTGGAAATGTTTAAAAAAATGGCGTATATAAAAACAAAACAAAAATACACATGCAAATAATCAATGGAAGTACAACTTTCAACAAAATTCAAATTATGGTATTTAAATATAGTTTTCAAACATACCGTTAAGTTAAGCAAAATGAATTTTAGTATTAAAATGGGTTAAAAAATCCCAGTTTAATGCTAAAAACCATCGTGCTGTATATGTTGGACTTGAAGGGTCTGCAAACAATAATTATCTTTATTAGTTTTTTGGTCCTAAAAATGCAGGCTTAAAAGGAACAAATTGCATTAGTTCCTTTTAGTGTCCTTTTGAAGTTGAAAATGCAAACAATCAAGTAATCTGGACTAATTCAATCCTTAACGCTATCATTTTTTCTTGACACGTGACCCTAGTGAAAGTAAAGCAAATCAGAGAAAACGTAAAGAAGTATTTAAAACTAACTCTGAGTCTACTCGTGAAAAATGAAACTTAATCTTTTAGAAAATGATTTACAAACATTTGTAAAATTTTTTTTTACAAATATTTGTATTTGATTCCGGACCTTTTTTCCATCACTGTAACTGTTGTTACAATAAAAATACATGAAAAGAGACATTGTCATGAGCCTTTAGTTGAATTAGATGTAGAATGTTGTTTTGTTAAAACAAAAGAGTCGATCCTGATAAAATTAAAGAAATTGGTTATAGACTAATGATGTTCTATAAACAGACGAACTATTGGTAAGATGCAAAATCCCAATCAAGCATGAAATTCAATTATATGGTCTCGCGTATTAAAGCACACATTTGTTAATAAATACGCAATTATATAGTATCGCGTATTAAAGCACACATTTGTTAGTAAACACACAATTTTATAAAATAGTCAGAGGCACTATATTATAATGATGTTGCAAACGATGGCTTAGAACTTTTTTACATTATCTTAAATGGAACTGTTACATTACATGGAACTGTTACATTAGCTACAGCAAGTGACATTGTAAAACCAAAATTGAACATTTAAAATCAATGGATAAACATAAAATGCAAAGAAAAAACTGCAAAAAATGTTTTATGATAATGAGCAAGTAAAACAAACAATTGACAGTTACATCTCTGGTGGTTTTTTATAACTTTTATACTCATATATTTTTTAAAGAGTGAGTTTTAGCTTCAGTTATAAAAGCAAAATTAAGATACTAGTTTTGAAGTTTTGTTAAATACCCAAGTTTTATATTACATTTTTTAAAAAATGCCATTTTTTTTAATTTTAATATAAATTTCTTCTCAAAAAAAAACTGAAATTTTTGATAATTAAAAGAAAAACTTGCTTTCAGTTGAGTACCATCTTAGGAGTAATTCTAATTTTATGAAAAAAAATTATTCCTATAAAATTAATTAATAATTATTATTATATAAAAATTATTAATTAATTTTATTTTATAAAATTATTATTTTATAAAAATTATTTATTCAAAACAAAACAAAAAAAAACAAATATTAGTCATATCATAGCACGATGGGTTCCGATTTCTATTTCGAAGGGGTTGCTGCCTCTTCGTTGCCACGATTCTGGGTCAGAATACACAAACATTAAATTTGGCCAAAAAAAGTATGAAACCCAAATTTTTATAATCAGTTAACATAGTTAAGATTTTTTTTATCAAAAAACCCACATTCTGGGTACACAGTGTAATTGAAGATTTTTCGTTGTCGTTTTCACCAATTACGTTGTAATCGTATTGACCTAGACTAGAATAATTACATTATTTAGATTTGAAATCTATTATAATTAGTTTCATACTTAGACTAATATCAGTGGCGGCACCAGCATTTTTTGGTCTTTGAGATAGGTAACTTCCGGACATGGAGCAAACTCCAAACATTTATATGTTTATACTCATAACAAATAAGGATGCTTTGCAAAAAATTACGATGATTGGAGCTTCGGAACAAAAAAACCCAAAAATCTTGGCCGACACTGCCCCAAACGTAAGAGCAACAAGTTGATGAAATAATTTTTTGTACTATTTTCAACTAGACTTATATTCATCGATAAATTTTAAATTTCATAGTAAAATATTTTAGTGTTCAAATATTATAACTATATAAAGTTTAAACCCCCTCAATTTGAGGGGGTTGCAAATTTTATATGGTCATAATTTTTAAACGCTATAAATTTTATATAAAATTTGAACGCTATAAATTTTATATAAAAATTATGACCATTTTTGAACGCTGAGAGATAATACTATGAAACTTAAAATTTATCGATGAATATAAGTCTAGTTGAAAATAGTACCAAAGCTATTTTATCAACTTGTTGCTCTCACGTTTGGGGCAGTGTCAGCCAAATTTTTGGGTTTTTTTTGTTCCCAAGCTCCAATCATCGTAACTTTTTGCAAAGCATTCTTATTTGTTATAAGTATAAACATAGAAATGTTTGGAGTTTGCTCCATGTCCGGAAGTTAGCTATCGCAAAGACCAAAAAATGCTGGCGCCGCCACTGACTAATATCTCTTCAAACATTCTTTTTCATTTAAACACATTCTACATTAGTTATACATGGTTTTACTGAGAAAACTATTAAAATATCTTTATTAATACTCTTTTGTTGTAACTAGTTTTCAAGCAAATAGATTACAAACTGAGACGTACTCAACGTAGTTAAGGCGAATTATTAAAACATAAATTGGTTTTTTTTTTAAATAACTTATAAATTAGGATTAAAATGAAATGTAAATTTATTTTTGTTTAATACAACTACTTCTCTTTTTTTCTTTTTTTTTTTAATACAAACTTTCATCGAGTCTCTTTTTGAACTTCCTTCGGGTTTTTCTCAGTCGGTTTGCTTCAAATCGTTTTAAATAAAATTAAAGACTTAATTTGGACATGATTATAGATCAAAAGAGCTAGAACTTTTACAACGTGTTCAAGTCAATAAATTTCCTGAAAAACATGTTTTTTTCGCTCAAAGTTAAGTTTTTCCACGTAATAAGTAAAAGTAAAAAAATATATATATGCTGGTAGTAATACCTCTTTTTCTTCTGTTTCCTTGCGGAAAATTCTATTGTCTAAATGTCTTTGTAATAGTTAAAAAAATTCCTGCATCGAACAAAGTCTTCACTTAAAAATACCAATCAAGAACTTGAGATTTCAACGGTCTGTAAATTAAATCTTAAGTTAAGATTCCATAATATACCGCATTTATATTACATCAAATTATACAACATAAAATCTTGATAGGCATATTACATTTTAAATAAATTATAAAAGATTGCTTGCAATCCACAGAAATATTTTTGGTGTTTTCCCTTTAAGCAATCAAGTAGTTTATCTTGCAGACCAGTTAATTTATGGAAATAATTTGACTGTTTAAACTAATAACTCACTGACGGCAATTTCTTGAAAAGTACCTTAGGAAAAATTAACGTCAAGATCTTTTTAAAAAAATTTTAATATGTAATTAAAGATGCTGTGGTACCAGCACTTAACTATTCTTTTGTAACTTATCCGTTGAATCCAACTAAAAGATACATAAAAGTAACTTGATTTGATTGTTAAAGAAATATATAATGAGGTTAGTTTCTAAGGATTATTTAATTAAATATCTTAAATTGTTTTCTTAAAAAAAAATTATTAAACGTTTAAAATATATTTAGAAATTGCTGAAATAGATGTGTTTTTTTTTCACACAAAAAAAAGATCTTATGATTGAGTAAACAATTTTGATAATAAAATTGACAGGTTTTACTTACCTGTCAATTAGACAGGTCTTTCTATCTAATTGACAGGTAAACTTGAATAAGTAATATTTCATGATGCATATCGTAAATATTTCCACGCATCATGTAGATTTTACTTATTATATTTAATCATAATATTATTAATAAAATTATTATAATAAAAACTATAATTTAAGTTAATTAAAATGCTGTAAAAACACGAATCTATTAAATTTGTTTAAACAAATTCCTTAATGACAACATGAATAACTGAATAATTAATAATATAATAATAATAAAATTAATAACAATAAAAATAATAGTAATCATAATAATAATAATAATAATAATAATAATAATAATAACAATAATGACAACAACAATAATTTTAAAAAATAGTATGCAATAAAAAGAGGAAAAAATCATTGTTCCTCACAAATATATTGTCAATAAATATACTGTAAATAAACAAACGATATATAAACATCATTTCTGACAATATTTACAATGTGTAAAGCGACAACATTCGCTTATTAAATATATATATATATATATTTATATCTTAGCATAAATTTAAAATGAAATATGTAAAAGTATGGCAATATATATTTAAAAACCTTTCAATGCGCATACTAAAATATCTTCTTTTAAAGATTTCGATTTGTCGAACTTTCAAAACAAATTAGCAAAAATCATTTATGAAGAACATTCTTTTTTAATAGAACATTTGTGACAAATATTTTTATTTTCATTTCGTTTTGCAAACTCAACTAATGAAAACTGATTTTGAAGTTTTTATAAGTATACAAAGGTCGTAATAAATTATATGCTAAAAATGAAATAGAAATGAAGCATTAATAATTTATTATGTTCACGATTTCTAATTTCAGTTTAAAAAAAATATTATTTTTTGTTGACTTCTGGTTATGTAAAATATAACTTAGGTACAAGAAACTCAGTATTAAATGAGAAAAAATGGTTCACTGCCTAATGTTTTCAAGTACAACAATGGTTTGCCATTTTATTTTCAACGAATCCTACTTGAAAATACAATAGTTGTAATGTTGCATTATTATAGCAGTATAACTGTTTTTGCTAAAATGTAAACAGGTATAATTACAACCGGCTATAAAATTATTGAAAGCCTTTAAAAGAGTTATCCATAGTTAAAAGCTATAAAGATCTTTCTGCCGAAGAGTACATTTGATAACCTACAGGACTTCCTGATTCATGGGGAATATGAATAGCAGGTGAAGATGATGAATATGAAGGCATATTACCTTGTGTAACAGCAATGTTCATAATAGAATATCTATCTGACATTGGAATCATATCACTTGCGCTTCTAGGAGTTTGCATAGAACCTAAGGTATAAAAATCATGTGAATTACCAGGAGAACCTACTGAAAGAGGCGAATGTCTCATTTGAGAGTGAGGCGAAATCATTGGTTGACGACCGTGAATGGATTGCGAATAGTCCGCATACATTGCATAGCCAGGTGCATTAGGTATTTGATATATTGGTGGTCCATACATCGCATCTTGAGAATAGGCAGAAGTTGGGTACGGAAACTTCATGTTGGCTGGTATTCCATTAACATCACCTGGGTAAACAAAACCAATTTTGTCTTTTTTTAACATAGCTTTAGCTTTTCTACGCCGTGGTTTGTATTTGTAATTAGGATATTCAATACTATGCTGTGTTTGCAATCGCTTTGCTTCGAGAACATAAGGCCCTTTTTCTGACTCGCCCATTCTTTTCCATTCTGATCCTAAAATTTTTGATATTTCAGAATTGTGCATACGAGGGTTAATTTGAGCCATTTTTCTTCTTTTCTCGCGCGACCACACCATAAATGCGTTCATAGGTCGTTTCACATGGTCCGGCTTTTTCTGTTCGCTTATATTTGTCACAGAATTAATCTAAATTATAAACAAGGCATCCACAATACTTTTAACCTCTTGACCGTTATTTTTTCAAGATTTTTTTAGTAAACGCAGAAAATAGAAGCGGCTTTATTAAAGTAACACCTGTTTTAACAAAATTTATTTTTAAATAAATTAAATATACCTGAACCCCTGACTGGTGAGGTGAAGGAGAGTTTATTTGTTCATTAGGCGACATTGAGTTATTGTTGCTATGTAGTTGTTGCATAACGCCATGGTTGTAGGAATGAAGCATTTCGATAGGTTCACACTTGATCGATTTTTCGTACATTTTGGTAGTTATGCAAATCTAAAACAAATATAAAATTTCTATAAACTTTAAAAAAAATTGCATTCATAAGGTCCGAGGTAGAATTGCGTAATCGCCCTTTGAATATACCGTAAAAATTTGTCAGGTGGCAGGAATGATGCATCAGGTGGTATATATAAATCAAATGAAGTATTTAAAATATTTAATTTTTTGTTAAAGATAAAAACCAGCTTAAATATAAAAAATATATAAACATTATTTTACACTAAAAATTAATAACTATTGCAAATATATTTAAACAATATATTACGAAACAACGACTAAAAAAGTTCTGTTTTTATTTAAAAAAAAACCACATTTGTTAAAAACTTTTTTACAAAAATATCTTTGCGCAACTCTTAAAAACATAACTCTTAACCGTTTTAAGCATTAAAAATTGGATCAAGTGATTACAATCGCGAAAGTATTTCCGGGTACGTTTTGTAATTCAAGCAATTATCGTAATTAGACTAGCCTATGTGACTCAGGAACCATTAATTAGCTTAGAATCAAGATTGAGCCAGATTATTTGCGGTGGAATAAAGTATTTTAACATTTTAATAAAGTTTTTTTATTTGAAAAATAAAAACTTGAATTATCATTTTTATCTCAATTTTAGCAAATAAAAAAAACATAAAATAAAATAAAAAAAAAACAACGAGATAACGAAAAAAAAAAAGAAGTTTTTATACTAGGGAAATTTGCTGCGATTTTACGTGTCGCCTATACTCCGAAATGTTATCGATGATTCAAAGATTATGTGTTGAAATATTTAAAACACTCAAAAATATTCTTTTTATGTTAATTAAGGAAGAAAACTGCAACAGCTGAAAATGAACAAAATATTTTAACATTTCAGTCATAAAAAATGCTGAAATTTTCCTTTTTTGACGTATAACAAAGTCAAATTTTAGGTTAAAAACTTTTGTTCAACTGGCAATTGATTAACAAACAGTTTTAAAAAATTGAAACCAACCCTACCAAAAAAAAAAAAAAAAAAAAAAAAAAAAAAAAAAACTAGAATTTATTACTGAGATTAATTTAAACTGCAATGATCTAACGACTTCCATTATTGTTCAAAGCATAAGCAAAATAAAAACTCACTAAGTTGCTTAACATAATCAAGACTATGTTCAATAAAATAATCTTTTAAAACACACACACACATACATACACACACACACACACACACACACACACACACACACACACACACAAATATGTATGTTTGTATGTATGTATGAATGTATGTATGTATGTATGTATGTATGTATGTATGTATGTATGTATGTATGTATGTATGTATGTATGTATGCATGCATGTATGTATGTAGGTAGGTATGAATGCGTATATATTACAATGACTAGTTCAAATGGCTATTTATTTTTAAAGTAAATTTAATAGTTTAAGTTTTGAAAGTTTTTTTTTTCCATGAATCGAAAGTAAACAAATTACAATAAGTATTTTTATAAAGGATTTTGGCGGTTGAAGTACGATTGCTTACGCATGCATTTGTTTTTTTTAAATCAAAGTTAAAATTCAAATATATCAAAAAAAATGTCAAACTATTTGCATTTAACTTATGAAGTATTCAAAAATAGCAGACAAGTGTAACACTAAAAAAGACAACAATTAGCTGTATTTTTACAAAGAATATAAAACAATATTTGTGTATACCTTTTGTTTATATAAATCAGTAATTATATACGGATAGCTTTCGACAGAGATTACCTTTGAGTGCTGTAATTCTATAAGTCAGTTGTTCTGCATTGAATACTTTAATATTAGGAGAACTGACACCATTAATAGTTTAAAATTTATGGAAACAAAAAAAACACGACGATTTAGTTCAATACTCCTGGCATGCCTTTGAAATAGAATAAACCAATCGCAATTCTTTTGTTATTTTTTAACCAATCATTGATTAGTATAAGATTACGCATTGTCGTCGGGAATTAAAATATATAGGCTTTAATGTTGCTCTTTGCTTTGTCAAACAATTTATTAAGATAGCCATGATATTTAATAAACGTTGGAAATTTTTCTAAAGAGTTCTTTTAAAAAAAAAATAACACAATACTCGATATCCCAACGTTTTATTTATTCAAATGCAATATTTTTACATAATAACGCAGTTGGTCTTTTAACAACTCCACCTGAATTTCATAATGGTTCTAGTGAGACTAAGTAACGAGCTCAAGCAAAGCATTTTATAAAAGAAAAAACAACGCAAAGAAAATAAGAAAACATTAAAGCTTTTAAAAAACTTTTATTACAATTTTTAACCTGTTAAAGTGCGTTACTTTTGTTGGACGAACAAAAATTAATTAAATCAAGCAATAAACCTTCGTTTCTAATCCCACGGGAATGATTTTTTAAATAAATATTCGTTGCCTTTATTTCGTTGCCATATTTTTTCCGCTTAAGCCGACAAAAGCAACTATACGAAATCGGCATCAAAAATATATTTAAAGCTTTTTTGCGTTTTGTTTTTATTTCTATTGACTTCGCGTTTTTTTATAATTCACCATTGAAATTAACAATTAAAATATTATAATTAGTGCTTTTGTTTTTATGTAACCTGTTTTTTTTATACAACTTTTATCTATCGATATTTTTGCGCGAACCAGCTTTCTATAAAATAATCTATATCATTTTTGCCGCCATAATTCGGTGGCTATAAAGAAGCGAAAAAGCTATTGTGTAAATAGAGATTTTAGATAAGATTGTATCTTTATCATCGCATGAATAACAGATGGACGTATGCAGGTTAATTATGACATCATTGCGTCACCAATGTTGGTCCTTTTTTTCTTATAGAGCTGAATTAGAAAGAGCAACCTTATTTATTTTTATTTTTTTCTCCTTGAATAAAATGAAGATAAATGCGTCAAAAATCTTTTTGTCTTTTTGTTATTGTGTAACGTAGTCTTGAAATTGAATTTATTAAATTAAAAAGCCATCTAAGAAAAAAACGTTGTTTAAAAAAATAATTGAACCTCGTACTTTTTAATATATATTTTTTATTAATCTTTTAAAGTAAGAGAGCGGTTAACACTTTTATAAAAGTAACTGAGTATGACGCATTTGTTAATTTGAGCGCGGTGTACCTGAGGTTTTTACTTGTATATTTTCAAACGACTTAAAAGATTAGCAAGAAGCGTCGCATTATGGAAAAATCTAATAGAATATCAAATTTAATATTAAAATTTACCCGCCAATTTTAGTTGTGTTAAACAAAAAACAAAATATTTACTTTTAAAATACAATTTATATATATATATATATATATATATATATATATATATATATATATATATATATATATATATATATATATATATATATATATATATATATATATATATATATATATATATATATATATATATATATATATATATATATATATATAATATTATTAGGCGTCATTAATTCAATACAAAATAAAGTAATACTTATGACGAGCAATTATATATATATATATATATATATATAATATATATATATATATATATATATATATATATATATATATATATATATGTTTTAAAAAAAAAGTTATTTATTTGAAAAATTAATTTATTTATTATATATATATATATATATATATATATATATATATATATATATATATATATATATATATATATGTTTTAAAAAAAAAGTTATTTATTTGAAAAATTAATTTATTTATTATATATATATATATATATATATATATATATATATATATATATATATATATATATATATAAAGTTACGCATAACAATTATTAGTTTATTTTGTATCGAATTAATGACGTTTAATAATATTGTTCGCTAAGAACTCGTGTTCTAATATTCTTAACCTTTCAAATCAATATAATCAATTGAGTAGCAATATATTAGAACCATGTGCGCTAAACGATGACGATTTTACCTTGCAAGAAAAAAACGACATAAGTTTATTATTAGAGAGTAAATTAAAATAACGCAGTAAGCCTAAGCGTCGTGGCACAGTAGTTGTAGAAATCGAAGGATCACGCAAAAATTTAAGAAACAAATTATAACAGGTGTCTCCTGAGTTAAAGACGCACACGAGTCCAAACAATGAGTAAAGTGTTAAAGTTTTAATTTTTTACTTCAAACAAAGAAAAACTTTTCCTTAATTTTTCTTGCAAATTTTTCAATAAATACTAACATTCCACACACTAAAAACAACCTTAAAATTTTTTATTATTAAAAAATAATCTTTATTAATTTCTAAGCATAGGGTTGCCATTCTCCTCTTTTTTCCGTAGGAGAACGCAGTGAAAACTTCAATTTTAATTAGTTTAGCGTCGCGTTCTCCTACGGAAAAAAAGAGGAGAATGGCAACCCTATCTAAGCAAGAGCATATATTTAAACAAACAACCGTTATAAACGACTAGCGCATATTTAGCAGTAAAATATTCTCCGTTTTTCAGCATGCTGGATTCCAATACTTGTGTGTAGTCAGCAAAACTAATTTGTTATAAAACCTTAATTTTAATAAATAATAAAATAACTTCAATTTAATTCATGCACATTTCTTACTTTATTCTTCTCTTTTTTTCTTATCTTCTATTTTTGCCACACATGTTTAGCCTTTCCTTCATAGGATTGCATAAGCCTATAATATATACATATATATATATATATATATATATATATATATATATATATATATATATATATATATATATATATATATATATATATATATATATATATATATATATATATATATATATATATATATATATATATATATATATATATATATATATATATATATATATATATATATATAACAACATATAAGTAAGCATCAATCACATATACCACATATTACCCAAAATGAAAATTTATTATTATCATGAATCAATTTTGAAAAACCATTGATTTGAAAGTAATTTTCTGTAAAATCACAAGTTAATTGAAACATTTTTGTTTTTAAAATTTTTCTAAAATGAGACCTTCCTTCTCTGACTCCATTGTTTCCAAACAGTGCTACTTTGGTCATAAAAATCATTTAGACAATCTGTTGAAAAACTATTGCTTAATAAGTTGTATCAGTTTCTGTTTTACAAACATATAATTTGATCAGTCAATAAATTTAATAAATAATTTTGAATGTTAATAGTTTTTCTTTTCCTGGCTCATATGAGCTTTAATGCCATTATCAGTACAATATAAAATACAACTTTTACGGTTTGCGTTTTTTTTTTTTTTTTTCTCCATATTATGTATTGCAGTATATATTGTATTGCAAACTGCATTTTGACTTCTTTTATCTTAGAGGTATAACTTTTAAGTATACTTTTTATATAAGAAGTGAGAAACTTCCTTACTTTTGCAGGAATGCCCAAATTTTTTGTTCAAACCAAAAAGAGAGTTTAAAATCCAGCGTAAATAAAATGAAAAAAAATTCCTAACAAATATGAAGTATGTTATATTAGTCTAAAAAAGTTTCTGAATCCAAAAAAGCTTTTTAAAGAATTGTGATTTATCATTTGGTTTGCGAATTGAATTGTTGTGATTCCTCATTTGGTCCGTGAATTGAATTGTAACAAAGCTAGAACAAACGTTAATTTTTAACCTATTACTTTATTTTTTAACTTTTATTATCATTTAACTTGTTTTTTTGTTGTTAAGCGTGTTTTTTGTTGTTAAGCTAGTTTGTTTAATAATAATAAAAAAAATAATGTATTCTAAAATGGGTTTAGCATTTCAGGAATCAGGGTAAAGAGAAAAAGATCTTTAAACTAAAGTTAAATTTTTTGTTTGTTTTTTCTCTTACTCGGCTGAGATCAGCATCATGTTTGTTTTTGATCTGCATCATGTTCTGAAGTTTTCTCTCTATTCTAAGACAATTTACCTCTGATTCTGATGAAACCATTCTAAAATCATTTTGTCGTTTCAAAGACTTTTAACAACAATTAAAAGAACGAATGCCTGTATTTTTAAAGCAGTTTTTGCTAATTTGTTGAGAGATACTCTGAACTATATACTCGCGAAGTAAACATAGGTGATATCACAGAGAGAATTAGATGTTCTAGACATCCGACAGATGTCCAGACGTTGATGTCTAGGACGTCTTACAACGTCCAATGTCCCTGAGATATAAAAGGTAATAAATTAGTTAATTTTGTGGTGTATAAACATTTTTGTATAGAATCTGACTATGTGACGATAAAGAGGTAAAACTGTTATTACATAAACTATATTTTTTTTGTCTGTGTGTTTATATTTTGCATTTTATTGATTTTTATACAATTTAATTAAATAGTTTTTACTTTATAAAATTCATCTTTATAGTTCTAAATTACTTAATTTTTACAAAATATTGTGTACCTCTATTTAGCATTTTAATTTACATACAACCGATAGAAATATTTAATATTGTTTTAGCTAAAATAACTTAAATTTTTTATATATTTATGTTATACATATTATACTATATATTTATATTATATATTGTATATACTTATAGAACACCCTATACAAAAATTCAACAAAAAATATAATTACATATGGGGTCAACAGATCATAATTTGCTGTTTGCGTTAAAAGATAAAATTATGTTATCAAATTTAAAAAAGAAAAAAAAACTCAACTTGAAGGTATTTTTTCTCCTAAAATAAAGGAAATGAACAGAAATGAAATTTTATACAGATGCAAATTGCGCGCTTTTTTGTCCTTTAAAAAAAACCGTGTAACTTTGTCTCGTAAAAAATAGCGATTGAAGAATAACATTTAAAAACCACCGCAGGTGATTTCTAATTTAAAGGAAAAAATTGAGCTTATGTTTATTCATTTAAATGCTGAAATAAAAATATTTTTTTTCCATTTAAATCTGAGTATGTAAGTA